AACTATATAAAATACAAGCTAAATTGAAAGTTTATACCGTTTATACGATGAAAAATGTACAAAAATGAAGAAAAGAATTTTGCACAACAATACTCAATTTATGAAGAAACATGCTCAATCAGAAGTCGAAAAATCTCCAACGCGTGTTAAAGATCGTTCGTCCATCAACAAATTCAAAAATTCCCCGCGTCCAATTGTTTCCACGGTAATTGTCTCGATTTTAATTGTCGGATTAAGCGGGAAAGAAAAGGCGAAACAACGAATGGAAGAACGCGAGTAGAGAGCTGCCACGAGTGGGCTGAAATGTTTGAACGAGAACGATTCGCGACATTGCCGAATAGAAGAGGAGCATCCCGGATCCTGGTATGGGTACTCGTGCGATAGAGAGGTACTAGTGTAAAAAACATTGAAAAATCAGGATGCACACGGATAAGGGATACGGCGGCGGAGGGTTGGCATTCACGTGGCGATATTCACGAATCAAAGGGAATTCGTCGAACGGAAAAGGCCGCCGATCGAGCGGTTGGGAGCGTGGCATATTTCAGTAGCGGGCGCGCGTATAATGACGACGCCCGAGCAAATTTCAAAGAGGCCTATCGGGACCGTTCGTCGCCTGCTCGAAATATATTATCCGCGTCTCTTGCGTTCCACGCGGGTCATCAAACGCTGCTTTTGCCCGCGACGAAGCGTTTTACGCTCTTTTCAGTGCGCAGTCTTGCTGCTCCGCTACCGGCAACCCAATGGAAAACAGACGGAGAGAGAAAAAAAAAGAAAAACGAACCGCCGGCAGAAGAGCCGTTTCCTGTCGAAATACACGTCGCCGGAAATTCCGCTATCAGCCACGATACGCTATCTATTTGTCCTGACGGTATTGTCCACCGAATGTTACGACTCCCCTTTCCAGCTTTGTTTTTGTCTCCCGTTTCCCGTTTGTTGCATCTCGAAGATTACCGAGAGCTAGATAGATTGGTTGCCCGATTACCATCTCTTTCCCGGTTATGTTGTCCGTCGTAATTTTCTGACGCGTAGAACGGAATTTGTTAAAGAATGTTTGTTTGCTCAAGGACTAGATAGGAATACGAATCTATCCTGCGTGGAGTTTCCTTGGTGATAGACAGCGCATTTCGGTGCTAAAGAGTTCAGAATCTTTAAATTTGTTAGCTCGCAAACGTTACGAACGGAGCATGGCCACTAAAAAAAATATTTCAGCCTTGATACTTTCGATTGCGTTCGATTGTTACTTTCGAGCGAGGCCTCTCAAGAGACTGAAAACAGCAGGAGCGAATATTTGCGGGACTTGTTGATAATTTGCAAAAGCGAGCGACGAAACGGGGCTGTCTGTCGTGGCGCGGCGCGGAAAGCGTCGCTTTCGCCCTTTATGCGTAAATAGCCGCATTACGCGCGGGCCTCTGCTTTTATTCGCTCTCTTCCGAGTCGTTCCACCAGCCAAGGGATCAAAGGGCTAATACAATTTTTCTTGGTACCGCTGCCCTCCACAGCTCTCTCTCTCTCTCTCTCTCGCTACCTTCTTCGTCGCGCGTGTGCTCGCCGGCTGCCACATCGACGTTTCAGAAACACTTTAGACCGAAGGAGAAACACAGCTCGCGGATAAAGAGAGGAACAGAAGCAGAGCAGAGAGAAGAGAGAAGAGAGAGTTTCAAGTAACTCTGAAGCTGAATAACATTCGGTGTATAAAATAGCCGCGCGCGCCGGGCCACGGACAAAGGGCCTTTAGTGGCGACCGGTGTAAAAAAGACGTAGACAGAGAGCAAGGAAGAAAAAGCGGAAGATACGGGGGGAGGGGGGGCGGCCTGGTATACTGGTACCCCTTTTCAGGGCACAGGACGTCTCCGAACGACGGGACGGGTCGTTCTCATCCGTAACCCGAGACGTGTAATTAGGAGCACCGGACCAAGATGAATGGCCAAGTGGCCGGTGGGGCAACAGGCAGAGAAAGGAAAAGTGGAGCCAAGCGGGAATGCTCGCGATGCGTCCCATCCATCGACGACCACGACCACAAGCTAAACTAAAGAACGAACCGCGTGCACGAGTCGTTGCATCGCCTCGTCTCGTCTCGTCTCGTCTCGTCTCGTCTCGTCTCAGCCTCGCCTCGCCTCGCCGTTCTTCACGTTAGTTCCATTCGATTCCATTCGATTCGACTCGCTTCCAGACACCGATCAAAGTCCCGTCGCGATCCTATTTATGCTGCCGTTCCAGCTCAAACACGCTCCCTCGAATCGAGCCGTGCATTGTGATTTACGAACGCGTGGCTAACGCGTTTTTATCGATAGCCGGTTTTTCGAAACGAAAGAAAGTAGAATAAGAGAAAAACATCCGTCTCGCTGAATAATTTCTAGAGAGGCTGCGCCCCGATCGAACACGATTCTCTCTCCACAGAATTCGTATCTAAATTCTCTGAATTTGATTCGCCAGATCGAATACTGGCGCCGTTGCTAGATGGATATTCACAATTGGAGCGGAGGTCAGATCGGCGCGCTTCGAATAGCTACCCATAGAATCCGATAAGACCGAAATAGTCGTCGAGTTGAAACAGCGATGGATTCTCTTGCGAGTAAAGTCGCAAATAAAAATAAAATATGCAACGAATGGGTCGATTTGGCATTTTTTTTAACTTGGCTACACTATTATAAATGGGATCAGTCGGGAAGATTGATAGACAGATATCTTTTTCGTACAATCCAGTATGTGTGTGTGTCTATCTCGTACGCCAAGGGTTGAACCTTAAGGGTTCAGCAAGGAAAACCTAGCATCGTCTTTGCCCGAGGATCCTGTTCGCAGCCATGGCTACTAATTACACGTGCAGCCACACGTATACGACGTTACCATCGATATTAGGTAGGTGGATACGTAATATAGCCCCCCTTTTCCGCCGAGTCTGCGTATATTCGCTTTCTAGGTGTGCATGGCTATCGAACCGGTTCTCCTCTTCGAGAGGGAGAGAGAGAGAGAGAGAGAGAGAAGAGAGAGAAAGAGGGTGAGAGAGGCGGCAGCAGTGTGTTACCGGCCGGCATCATGGACGATGGAGAAAGATCGTAGCCAGCATCCACCCGACCTAACATGCTGCCAACGATACCACCACTACTACCCGCCACTACCACCACTGGCAACATTGCCAGGTATCGTTATCAACAACACATCGTCGCATCGGCTGCGAGGATGAATTTCGAGACGGTGCACGTGAGAGATCGGCACGGCTGATTTCGCCTACCGACTGCAAATTGGAGGCACGAAACCCGCTTTTTGGAGCGGGCGAATTCACCGACAGTGTTAAAGGGCCATCGACGAACGCGGCTTTGCCCATTGCTCTCGATCTCCAGTCAATGCCCGATACGTTTCCACCGTCGATTCTCCCCCCGTTCTTTGATCTCTCGCCCCACGAATTTATTACCAGCGAAAAAAAAAAAGAAAAAAAAAGAACGAAACGTTTGCGTGAATTAATGGTATTCCTTTTAAAATCGGAAGCCAGTTGCGACGTGTTGTCGTATTGTGAAAATCAGTCGCAGAACGCGATCGAAGAACGCGACAAGGTTGTAGCTGTAAAGACCCGAGATAAACAGAGCCAGTTTCGATACACGCGAGTCTTTCGTTGAACAATGTAAAAAACAAAGAGAAACAGATTGAAGTACGAAAAAAAAAGTTGCTCAACACGGACACGTTTTGTTTTGGAATCGCAGCAGTCGAGGCGTATTAACCGTAGTTAAAGGAAGAACTACAGAGCACGATGTAAAATATACGGGGGGGGGGGGGGGGGAATGGAGGGCTGAATGATTTCAAACGATAGACGAAATCTATAATACCATTCCTCGTTCTCTCCCCTTCCGTACTCTTTCAGTGATTCACTGGCACGAGCAAGGGGATGAACCGTAGGGTGGGAAAAGGATCGTTCGAATCGTTGTTACGTGCGTTATATTACATGTATACGGTACTCACGAAGACACAGCAAAAGCGTAGTTGCGTCGAGACGCCGCATCCTTTCGTTGGCTCCAATCTGAAGAAACCGCGCGCGACTCGAAACTCACTCGGAGAGGGGGGAGGGAAGGAACTGAGCAGGAAGACCGTTCCGTGTTTCTCAGAGCCTTCACGTCGCTGTCATTCTATTTCCCTTTCCGTGTAAAGCCTGCTTGATAACCCGATCAACACACTGCGCGAAACTAAGAACGAAACATCCGAACACCACGAAACGACGCGCGATACTGAGAGGGATACTAACCCACGCCGCGTCCTAGCGGCCTCTTCTCGCGGGGTTCACGGCCGATGTCGTGATTTCCTTTGTTACCGTCAGAGGGCGCTCTAAACTGGCCCATCCAACTAGTTACCGACGCATGCGTGAAGGGTTCTTGTCCACGATCCAGCGCGCGGTATTTCACAAATTCAAAAATTTGCAATAAAGACGTGGAAGCTCAGAAACCTCTACTGATCTCTTGTATTTCTCTTTCTATGTGCATGCTTTTTTTTAACGATGATTCAAGTTAAAATAAAATTAATATAACACTGTACTCTGTTACGTTTATGAGAAAAATATGTAATAAAGGCAGATCAAAAAGAAGAATGTTCCATATTTATGTATAAGTTAATTTAAGAATTTCGTAGACTCCATCTTAATCTTTGTGTCTTGGCGATAGAGAATTAAAAAGAAATCTCTACGCATCGTGTAAATTAATTTGATCTTTCTTTTTGAAGGAAAATTGGGACTTTCTGAACATTGAAAGAATCAAAAGGTTTACAATTCAAATTTGATATATTATTTCATATATCCTATTACACATACGTCGTTGTTGACTCCGTAAGTAATCATAGTATCATGATGTTTATAATAACAATCTAAACGGTCATATTACTTACATTCCTACATTTACTATATACTTTTTTTTTACTTTACATGTTGATTTATTAATTCCCGGCCCCTTTATATTATGTATCCACATTCGCATTGGCAAGGGTATTAGTGATTGCGCTATCAATCTTTGTTTAGATTGATTTTACCGAAAAAGGATTGAAAAATCGAAAATATAAATTTCGACTAGCACTCCATAATGATAACGCTCTCGCGAATTTTTTTATCTTTTTTTTTTTTTATTTACATAGTAATACTATTCAGGCGAATTAAAGCCCCACGATAGTGATTTATACGGATATTAAAATGAAACTGATGGTCGTCAGATAATCGACGATCATCCTCGAATATCCTATCGATTCGCAAAATTACTTTTTTCGAAAAATGGTACATACATATGTACACAGACGATCAGTATGCCTTCGTAAGGCATATATAACTTATGTACACAATAAGTACATGTTACGATATTCGTACACACGCCTTTACGTACGTAATCATCATTTCCCGAAAAATCGTGATCGATAATAACGCAGGGCCCATCTTATTCTGTCGTTGCTACCTGCAAAGTTCTATCTAACTATCTTGATTCCTCCGAACGGTGCGAGGTTATTTATAATTATATACATCAGGTTCGGTCCTTTCGCGAACAATTACCTTTGGCACAATTAGAAAATTCGCGCGACAGGATACGTTCACCACATGCGTTCTCATGTACAAATGTATTTATAATGTAACATTGACTGCAAGCAGGAAAAAGAAAAAGGAAGAGATAACGCGGTCGCTTCACTCCCGTTGCCATTCTCGTTCAAATTATCTTTGTCGAAAATATTTTTACTTCCGAGACGACTAAGTTATGACAAATGAGTCTAAAGTATTTGAGATATACAATCGTCAACAAATTGCACATTTCAACGCAAGAGGGCAGTAAGTCAAACGCACAAAGTACGAAGCTGATCTAGTTAAATCGAACGTTATATCGAGATAGGTAGTTTAAACGGTTAACGTTTCGAACACTAACTTGTTTTCCACTCTCTGTTTACTCGGCACGTATCACAACGTTGTTACGTACGTTCATATTCTCGAAACGATTAACGTGAATTTTAAATTCGATTACGTGGATTCGTGGAGAACGCGGCTAGTACGATAAAATACCGCGGTGGTGATTCAACGATATGTTTAACATTAAAAGGACTGTCTTTGGCCGTGTCTCGCGTTATTAGTAACAGTGACTGCCATCGACCTTCGAGAGTTCGCTTATCTATTGTCGATGATATGTACCGACGCCATGACGTTTCCATCAATCGGCGAATCTCAAATTCACTTTCTGTCGCCCCATCCAGCGCTATTATAAAACCAAGACGAGGCGCTCTCATCTCTTGTTTTACTCCATGTATTGTCTAAACTGCTTCCTCCGCCATCCTGCAAGATTAATTCAAAAAATCATTAGAACAGAATAATTTTCAGCAAATTGGATTTGATCTTTGTTTGACCTTTGTATGGATTTTCATGCCTCTATAAAAAAAAAGGAAGATAAACGTGAAACAAATTTCCACATCTGCTTGTGAAAATGAAATTGCATAAAAATCCCCAGTCTAATCCAAAGATCAAATCCAATTCTTATACAGAAAACCAATAAGTTTAGCACTCTATGAGAATCTCTGTATTAATTGCATTAATTTATAATACATTAATTATAGTGCATGCTTACCACGACATTCAACTGATGCGTTGCAGGTGAGAGATAATCCATGTTGGTGTAATAAGAAGAATAATTTTGGTAACATTGCTGTTGAGACGTGGTTGTTGTCCACGCTAACCTCTGATGATCACCAGGAAATGCTCCGCCGCTTTCCGTGACGGCCGGGCTCCAGATACTACTGCTACTGCCCCCACTGCTGTATACCGTTCCCCCTAACTGCAAAATACCACCCTTTCTACGAAACCATCCATATCCACCGAGGATAAAGCTTTTTAGGAAACGCTCATTTTGTCGATAACTTACGCTTGGCGGAGTTGTACTGGAAGCGAGGAGTAAACTGGTTGCGCTTCCTGCTGGTTTATACTGCGGAGAATCTCTTAGAAGAGCCGGGGAGCTAGCCGCCGAACCACCTGCACCTCCGCTTCTACACACACACACACACGAGTTAAAGGTATAAAAAACAAATGTTACAGATCAATTATAAATCGCTAACTCAACGAAGTTGAATGTCGCGCGACGTTTTCGTGATTAATAAAGTATGAAACGCGCTGGATCGTTTTTTGTTAATCGCGCCATTCGTCTATTTACATTTGTTCTTTTCGCGAGGTGAAAAACGACGATAGCTGGGAGCTTTCGTCGAAAAAGAAAAAAAAAGAAAAAGAAAAAAAAGAAAAAGAAATAAAAAAGGCAGGTATTAATGTAAGCGATATTTACAGAGGTGTTGTGGCTGGCACGGCCGCAGCAGGCGTGGGCGTGGTAGCAATCGAAGGACTTTTTCCAGAGGGCGGATTGTTACTCGGATTGCCGGAGGGCTTTTTCGACCTCGGTGCTTTGTCGTGTTGCTGCTGTTGCTTCTGCTGCTGTCTGCATTTGGCTCTGCGATTTTTGAACCACACCTACGGCACGTGCAACATAAATTGATAAATTATATCAAAGGAACGCGTGCGCGTGATTACGAGTGGCTGTGTATATGTGCGCACATATATTTATATTTTATTCGATGAAAACAAAATACGAAACGAAATATCTACGTTCCTGATTCTATACAGCACATCTTTTTTTTTCAATAAACGACTGAAAGCAGCTTTCGATCCATATTTTTGCGTTCAAACGCGACGAGGTGCGGGTCTCATAGGAAACGAGCACGGAACGGTGTACAGAGCTTTCATAAAGCTGGCGTAATAGCCAATTATAAGGGAATGTAGCACGGACGCAACTATCAATTACCAATGAAGCCGGATTCGATAACACGAAGCAGAAACCAGCGCGTATGAAACTCGTTCGCGTCTGCCGATGGAACAAAATGACGGAGAGCAAACAGGTTGACGTGTGAGCAAACTTCCGTTAATGGAATCGCTCCGACGATTTCTGATTTTTCAATCAAACTCAGCCACCCTGACAGACACGATATGCTCGCTTTCTGTCGTCGTCGAGCTTTAAAATACCGAATCCATCATTCCAAAATTAATATCAGGCAATCCAAGATAATCGCTGGCAAATCGCTTCAACGTAAATTTTCCTGAATTCCCAGGAACCATCGTTTCTCTCGAGAAGCGACAAAATAGCAAATTATTTAGCGAAGAAATTTTTTACTCTGTTACAAACGTCTACGAAATCGTTGATTTCACTTGTCGAAGTATACGACAGACTTGGCTCTTCCTTCGATCCGTCGTCGTGCGCCCTCCTAGATTTTCAGAACGCGAAAACGACCTTTGGAGAAGGAGGCGAGAGAGTGAACGAAACGCGCTGGAGGAACGAGGACGGAGAATAAAGAGACGAGAGAGAACGAGAGATAAAGAGGAGGGAAAAGGGAGGCACGATGACGAGCAATGGGTGGTGAGGCGAGGGCAAAGAGAGGAAAGAGAGAGAGAGAGAGAGAGAGAGAGGGAGAAAGAGAGAGGAGCCTAGAGAAGCCCTGCGCGATCAATGTTAGAAGCGGAGAGGTGAGCTTGGGTTTCTACGGATTTTCTGGGGAACGACACGAGCAACCCGCGTTCTTCCACTGAAGCTGCTCCCTCGTATATGTTCCTACTTACTCTGTACGAATTCTCTAGTTTTAACCGATCCTCGTGTACATCGCTAGAGACTTTGCTTTGTCTGGTCGCCTCTAAATTGCCACATCTGCCACCTACTTCCGACGTATGACAGAAAGAATCAACAACAGAAAAAAAAAAAAAACAACAAAAAAAAAAAAAAAAAAAAAAAAAGAAAACGAACGACAATCGCAAAGATAAATTTGCGATGATGCGCATATATGTATATAGAAACCTCGATCACTTCCGTTGACCGGTTCCGTTCAATTGAAAAGTCACGCAGGGGTCAAAAAATACGAGCCGACGAGCAGAAGACTCCGGTTTTGCAGTCGACGATGAACGTGCGCAAGACTATGGACCTGGTTGGACCCATTCAATTCATTTACGGGGCTGGGACCAGGTGCGCTGGCCCACAATTGCGGATGCGGCGCGCCCTTTCCGCCCGTGATAAGGGTGGAATATGCACGGACACGTTCCAAGAGTCTGTTGGCTTCGAAAGTCGATTCGGGCGACACGAATTCGTTCGTGAGACTCGACAATTCCACGAATCATCATACCACGCCATTCAACCGTTTCTGTCACAGAAACTTCCCCTTTTCAATTGACCGAAACCACCCGAGGAAACGCTGCTTTGGAGATGGAATTCGGTTCTGGAATTTTTTGTAACAAGGTAACGAACACAAGCACGCGCACGCTTACGAGATGAACTACTAACTCGGTTAACACCCAACCTATCGAGGAAACACGAGCATCCAGTAAATCGATGCCGTCTACGGGACGTATCTGCATGCCGACACTACAACCCCTCGGGGTAACGAAACACCGACACGACGTATCTATTGCTGTATCGTTTCGTCGTTGACGGAAACCGACATGCTCGCGCTTTCGTAACCAGCTACTCCGACGTACCTGCACTCTCGACTCTGGTAAGTTAATCTTCATTGCTACTTCCTCCCGCATAAAAATGTCCGGGTACTTGGTCTTTGAAAACAGTCCCTCGAGAACGTCCAACTGCGCCCGAGTGAACGTCGTCCGCTCCCTTCGTTGCTTTCTTGGATTGCCTTTAAAAGAAATCGTTAAAGTCTTGACACGATCCCGCTGATCATCGGCACTTTAAAAATGTACCCGGCAACAGACGTAAGCGAAAGTAATCGCCGGTGAAGATATTCGATAATAATAATGTAAAATAAGGGGCACTCACAGTAGTAGGACTCACCGGCGGGAGTACAACCAGGGTAGCCGATGGTAGAGTGAAGCGCCTCGATCGGTGGCATACCAAGGGCGCTGACGTAAGGGTTGGTCTTCAGCGCGCCGTAGGGCCCGGCCGCGGACGCGCCAAAAGCGGCGGGCCCGAATAAATCGGAGGCCGAGGTGGTGGAGGCGGCGAGACCCCCGAGATCGGTGGCGCCGGCGCCCCCGCTGCAGCCGGATGTACCACCGAGGCTGTTCGGCCACATCACCACCCCCTCGGCCCCCACCACGACCACCTCCCCGCCTCGCGGCCGCCGAGTCTACGCAAACCTCCTCCACTTCTCGCAATTATCCGCTGTTTCTGAAAAAATCAAATTCACACCAACATCACAACAGGCTGATCGCATCTCTGCTCTACTCTGTAGATTAACGGATTTCTGAATTTTTTCGAAAAAAATCGACGTTGATTGTTCCCCCTTCTTTGCTTCAAAGTTGATTCAAACACGACATCTACTAAATCTACGAAAGTAGACCTTTCAAACTTTTACAGTGGCGCTGTTTTTAGAAAAGAAATGCATAGAATAGAGATATACGTGGAATAAGAAATTTGTTATCTACGTTCCGATCTGCAGCATACATTCCTGCTAGAAAAAAAATTTGGAGCATTCAAAAGAAATATAACGACGTTCTTAATTAGATAGTAATATTCTTTGTAATTGTCAGATACGCAAATTCAAGCATATTTGAAAAACCAAAATCTGCTTTATCAAGTATTATTTGTACGTGTAAAAATCGAAAATTGCAATTACAATCTATTTCTCAGGAGAATGTCATCAAAAGATCCGTGTCACCTGATGAGCAAAAGATTGCTCCAAATTTTCGAACCGAGGTGTAGCACGAAAGGTTCCAACTTCCTGAAACGCAGTTTACTCCTCGATTGTCGAACAATAGAACGGCCAGCTTAACTGCCAAAGAAACCAAACGCGTTATTAAACGGAAGTCGCGGATAATGGAAAGTTCCCGGGCACTTTATACGAATATCGAAACCGATCGCGGAAGATGGAAATAAGAGCGACGCGGTTGGCAGCTGGCGATGCCGGATAATCCAAAGAAGATGCAACACGACTCCGCCACTTTTCGAAGCTGTTCCCTCCCCCTCCGCATCCCCTGTTGACCCCGTGGACAACGGCACGCCGGCTAATTCCGAAAACGCGACGTGTCCTCTCGAAAACCGAGAGCGACGTCGAGAAAAAAGGGACGGGCGGGGAGGGCACGGCTCGGGCTCGTCGTCGTAGCCTTTTCGTTTCACGTTTAGCCGCTACTTAAGCCGCGTTTTATCCTCTCCGATTACAAAGTCAAGAACGAAGTCGCGGTCTATCGGTGCCGGTTCCTCCTCGGCTTTCCACCTCGCACCTCCGCATCCAACGCTTATTAATTTATTTGCCTTCCCATTTATCACGTCCTCGCTGCGTGTTTCGCATCTGCGCTGGCGTCGGGTGCCGTTGTAATATTTGTCCTTTGTCCCGAGTGGATGTTTCTACTAAGAAAAGAGAGTTTTACCGCGCCTCGCATGTGTTTCGGATTAAGGTGGACTAATCGCCCGGTAATTAACATGTGCGACGTGAAAAACAATCGGATGACGACGACAACGTGGATGGCGACAACCGGCTGTCGTTTCGAAACGAGGGTGCATCTTGATCGAAAGAACTAATGCACGTTCGTCGTGCCTGGTTCAATTGCTATCGAGGCAAGGATGTCTACGCGTTCGGAGAAAGTTTGAATGTATAGAACGCACGCGTGATACTCCAAACTGTACGAAGTGCAATTGTGAGATAATCGTCAAACATGCAATTGTATTCTACGAAATTCTACAAAATTTGAAGATACAAAAGTCCGCGGTAACAATGAGTCAAATTTTTACTCAAGTTCGGGTAAAATTAAACATTCTTTGCACTTTTGACGAAGTTTTAATAACGATGTTCGACAGAAGAGTATGTCATTTGGATTTGAATCTTGTCGAACTGAGAAACAAACGCTCCTCGAAAAAAGATTGACTCGATCAACGTGAGAAGAACTGGTTTGCCAGTTGATACGAGACCACGTACGAACTTTTACGCAAGAACTTTTATTTGCAATTTCTCGGTTCGCCGTGGATCGGGTTTCAATGGTGCACTTGCTCGGAAATGAAATTTCGCATCGATAAGCCCGCTTTAATAAAGCATTGTTTCCGTTTGGATGGTCGGTGCAACGGAACCACGAGTTTTGTATGAAAGGAACAACGACGCGTGAAGGGTGCTCGTACGATTACTCGAGCGAAAGTTCCTTCGCGCAAATATGGATGAAACACCCGCGTTACCCCTCGACTGCCACTCGACTTTCGCAGTGTATCGTGGCCCGCTGCGTTCGTCATTGGAAGTTCAACAGCGTTTCACCAGTTGGTGGGCAAAACCCGCTTTGTCGCGCAAAAAACTAGACCCCGAAAGAAGTGAAAATTTCAGTCGATTAAAATTCGTCGGTCAACGTGTTCGTTGTCTCGTCGCGGAGCAGAAACCACCTGAATTTCCGCAAAATATACTGAGGACTTAGATTCCTGAATTGAGATCTAATTCTCCAATCTGTCGCAAATATCTGACACGTGAACGTGCGAGCAAATTTATTGTTTATGCAAGGAATTATTTAGTAATCAACTCACGCTAAGAGAAAAAAAAAGAAGAAAAAGAACAAAGAAAAATGAAACGAAAAACGTAGAGAACGGCGAAGCGTAGCTGGAAACAATATAGCCGCGATAACTTTTCCATTTAATTACGTTCTTTGCCGGAGATGCTTTCCCCCGAAATGAAGTTTCAGCCCGATGAAAGAGAATCCATAAAGCGCGAGCATCCCCGTGACGCCTCTTCCCTGGCACGCTATATTAAAATTTGGCTCACTATGAAAAGAAGGCCGGCGAAGAAAGGGCGGCTGCTTTCGAGGGTCCTCGTGAAGTAAGTCAGGCGCGAATCTCTCTACCTTTGTGCACTCCTGCGCTTTACACTAGCCACAAAGCACTCGTTACAAGCCAGGCGGACGTATGGCTGAGAAACGTGCAAACAATCGTCTCTCGGTTGCCAATATCACTGCGGCCTCTTCTTCGTACCTGTGGCCTACGTGGTGAAAATGCCGCGCGTTTACTGTACTCGCCCAAACGTTTAACTCGCGATCCACCGGAAACGATTTTAATCGCGGTTCACCACCGATAACCGGGTGCCGTGCGGTTTCGCGAAACAAAGAGCCGCCCCGATACAGGGTTTGAGGGAGCAAAACTCCATCTACACCAAGCTGCCACACTTATTTACACTGTCGTGATATTAAAAGCGTTTCGCGGCGAACTCATCGTGTTTGGAAAGTCCGAAAAGAGAGGTCTCTCTATTTCTCTCTCTATCTCTCTCTCTCTCTCTTGGCCACGGTAGTCAGAAGTCTCTTTATCTTTGTGCAGTTCGGCGCACAGGACAATGCACTTGTTACAGACCGCCAAGTGTGGACAAAATGCCCAAGTCGCCACTCGATTGGCCCTCGAGGGTACTCGAGTAGTCTACGACCCTGCTGTAGCGGAAAGGCAGAGAGGAACGGGCCTGAGTCGGAGAAAGACAGGGAGCCTTGCCTTTTCCACCCCCGATGAATCGATCTCCCGCTGCAACCAGCCGTGTCCCCCTCCCCTCGCTACCTTCGTCAGTTCGGCTCTACTGCAAACACTTTGTGTTACCAATCGACGTATATACCGGCACGTTGTTCCTAATGACTGTTAAATCCCCATTATTGCGTATCGCGTGTACGCCCTGTCTCGGGAGGGTTGCGCGTACGCGCTTGAGATACTTGGAGATATACGGATCGTATCAACGAATCGCTCGGCGAACGCCACGTGCGTCTCTTCTCCTTCCCGCCCAACCGAATTCCGCCACGTCGAGCGTGCCGCGCTCTTTCTTCTTCACTCGTTACACGTTTGATTGATCCGACCGTGAGTCTCGAGTAGAACGAAATGCTCGAGTTTGTCAGAGTATCGAACCACGCGACGTGTCCATCATTCGGCGGAGACTGAGAATTTTTAAAATTTTCGATCGCCAGGCAAAACGAAGGACGAAATACAATATAGCGGACTTGGCAGAGTCTGCGAGCGCAAATCTGCGCCGGAGTTATACTCGCTCAGATGCACAAGAAGCGACTCCCGGCGAAAGCTACCGGCGGAAAGTTAAGTTCCGGCCGCATTGTTTCCAAGAGTGTTTGCACACAACCGCATTGTTCCCCGAAGAGCACTCTCTCGCTGCGAGCGCGTCCACAATGGACGTGTACCCCGTACGTCGTACACAGTCTGTGCGTGAAGAGGAGGGCGCTGCGCGGCCAGAAAAAGCCACGAAATACTCGCCGGGTATTAACCGATTTTACCCGAACTACCCGTTGCTTCGCCACCGCGGGATCGGTTATTGCAAAATCTCACCCTTCGTGTTTCTCCGCGAAGAACGACGGGGCGGTCTCGCCTCGTTGGAATCGCGTCACGAGGTGTCGGGGCAACGGAACGATCGACGAGGAGAGCCACCGACGAGGGATCGTCCTCCTTTTCCGCGAAGAAAGAAGGTCGCGTCTCCTTCGGTGCTTGGAAGTCGGCGGCGGGCTTTTTCCACAGGACAAAACCTGTCCGCGAGGATCGTGTCTTGCACAGGATCGTCGTTGAATACCGCCGCTAAGAGGTGGTATCCGCGTAGTCACGAGGAAACGTTTCTTCGCCGAGTCGCATTGAATGCAATTTAGCCCGAAGGACGGCCGTTGTTGCGCGTTCATTGAGCGTAAAACTTAATTCCCGTGGAAATGCCACGGGCCAGACGTATATATACCTATCCACGGAGCTATTCTCTCTCACTTGGGTAGTTAGGTTTTATTCTCGGTCGAAAGAAAAAAAAAGATTCCAACGGGGTTGCGCTACCCTCTTCTCCTCGGGGATCGGCTCTTCTTTTCCTTTTTTTTTTTCCTTTTCCTGCTCGCGTTCCACCGTTTTCTTTCTTCTCTCGCCATCTTCTTTCCACCACTCGCGACGAAACTTTACTGATATTTCCTCCACGAGATCGTTCACGTTCCTCTAGGTCACCGTTCACACGGCGACCACGTCCTTCCGATAGCTTTCGCTCCATGCAGTTTATCCACACGATTGTTGGAAATTAAACGGGACACCCATGGATTCATACATCGACTCACGTCTTGAAACCAATTCACACCGTGACACGTTTTCGAGATCGCACGAATCAACTTCTCAACTCCGATCGTCGAACGTTCCTCGACGTACCTCGCACAGACAGACACACCACAGACTGTCCCTTCGGAGGGGCAAAAAAAAAAAAAAAGGTGACGATACGGTATCCCTTGACATCCCTTGCGAAAACCCGGTGCCGACTAGGATTCGAAGCGTTCTCCGCTCTCGTCGAGGATGCTGCACCGCGTGTACACGGCGAGGAGACGAAGGTCCTCCTCGTGGAAGGCGGACCTTAACCGGGAGGGAGGCAAGCCAAGAAGATTACCGTAAGCAGATTATTTCCGTGGAAATCCTGCTGGCCAACTCTCTCGACGCTCTCCGCCACGGTCGAATCGTTTCGGCAGCGAAATCGTCCCGTTGGAATCGTAGCTGTGAACGGACCGCTCCATCGTTTTCATCTCGCCGCGAAATTCTCCTCTCGGTGTGTTGTTACGTACGTTGGAGAAGAGCACGCGAGTCTCGTCAGAGCTCGGTCTGTTTAAATTTCACATCTGCGTACGTGGAAGCTGTCGTCAAGATCACACAAGTGAGGAAATGTTGCTCCTTCGCGCAATTTGCGAATCGCTTAATAGAACAGTGCCAAAAA